AACCAGAAAAGCTAATAGGCTGAAACTTTGTGAGTATGTGGCCATACACCAAGACCCTCTTATTTTAATTTCATCTCCCGCGAATTCCTGGGTGCCGACTACGGGCGCTTTAAAAATATTTGCAAATTTTTTGGCAGGAAAGCGATCTCGGGAGCCACACGAGCTAAGGGGCTGAAACTTTGTAAGGGATATTCCCTGTTCATGTATTGGCTAAAAATTTCAAATTCAGCTCCCAAGTACGCATGATACTCATGTAAGGGCGTACGAAAGTTTCTGTGGAAAAATATCTAACTCGGCAACCTGAAAAGCTGGAAGGCTGAAATTTTAGGGTGATGTTCCCTGTCTAAGTAGAATTTAAAAAATTAAAATTTAGTTTTCCGGGAAAGTGGAGTACCCACGTGCGGGCATATGAAAGTTTTGGCGGAAAAATTGCTAACTCGGCAACCAGAAAAGTTGGAAGGCTGAAATTTTGGGGGAATGCTGCTTGTCCAAGTACAACTCAAATATTTCAGATTCAGCCTTGAGGTATGCGTATTTCTTAAGAACGGGCACTTAGGAGTTTTAGCGGAAGAATTTCTCACTTAAGAGCTAGGTTACTTTCGAAGAACGACCACTAAATGGAAGTTGTACATTTGCTTAATGCAAGATTTATGGTGATTTTTGCTACTGACCGCAAAAGGTAGGTGTAAAACAACAACCATTCATGCAGTAAAGATCTAAATACTTCAAGTCTGGTGCAAAAACGCATGATCGCATGGGCCCGCCAGTGCGTTCCAACCTGGGTTTCATATTATGCATATGCAACCCAGACTCTGGTACGATTATACATTTTTGCCTGAAACTTGCAGCAGTCAATTCGTTAAAAGTAGGGATGATTCACGCGTTTTGGTTTGACACGAAGACTCACAAAGGCTGTGTTTTAGCCTTTCGTGCATACAAAGGGCAAGGGCATCAGCTGTAGTGGTAGTGTTCCATCATATGCCATATCACCCTCTATCGTGCATGATTATCAATTTTGCATGTAGTCTGGTCGCTTTTTTGGTAAACAGTCGCTCATCGAAGGGGAAAAATTTGACAATCCACTGGAACTCGGAGGAGAAGGATTGTCCGCACCCCGCATTCGAGTTTGCGATAAAATTGAGTATTTTTCATGCCCTCATTCAGGAAATCCAGTGAATTTCATCTTTAGGCTGAATTAAGACCAAACATAAATACAAAATATTCTGCAAAGTTTCACTTTTGCGTCTTATCCGGCAAGTAAAATAGCCATTTCGTTACAAATATCATTGGAATGCCATAAGTTGCGGCGCAAATGCAAGTCGAAGCTCGATTTAGGCATAGATTTTCCGTATGGACGAAAAAAAATCTCACAAAATTTCAGCCAATTTCAGCTACTTTTTTTTTTATAATTTTCCTTTATAATTATAATTATAAACCACCAAAATTTCAATTTCATAATTTAGTACTTTTTTTGTTCTTTTATCTACTATTTTCCTAAAGGTTTTTTCACAGTTGCGAACCCGAGCTAAACTGCTAGAATCGTTTACTGACAAATCCATTACGCAAATTCAATAATCATGCACTAGTCATATTCCACCTACGTGTGTAGATGAAAACAGCTGAGAAGTGTTCGCTCTACTACAGTTGCATAATTGTAAGCAGAAGGGTGATGTCCAAGCTAAATGACCTGGGGCTGGCAAGAAAGAGCTTCTAATCAAGGGAAAATAACCATCCTTTTAATAAATTAATGTTAAGGGCACTATCAGCAAGAAGGGGAAGGCTGTTCCAAGTATTTACAATCTAACTGAAGAGACAGAAAGCTTCCACAACTGTTCTTCAAGAATTTGAAGGAGTAAAAATGGTTCTGTTTCGAAATTGTGAAAAGATTGGTCGGCCTTTAATAATTTTGTAAGCAGAGCACAGCTAGACATAAATGCGTCAAAAAGGATTGAGGTACTTATGAGTTTCAAATTCGAAAGTCGAAAGTAGGTGATAGCTCTCGAAAGTAACTCACGTGAAATATTTGTGATTCATTTCTACTGTGAAAGTACCTTTCTTTGAGATACAATATTTCGGGGTTGTCTTCAAGCATCCGCCCGGCATGCGATATAAATGATTGAACATATGTTGATTTATTTTCATAAATAACACTGAAAAACAAGAATTTACAATAAGCACTCTTATGAATAACAGAAAGGTGAAATTTCTGTCGATGATTTTCAGCAGACTGCAGGGGAACTCCATTCAAATAACAACTAGCAAAAGGATTTCTGTTATCAACAGATAAAACACAACATTTTTGAGATAAAAAATTCATCGCGAACCACGAGAACAACTTCGAATTTTGTCCAAGGCAAGCTGTAAGGAACTGTATGTTTAACGATTACTGGTAATACTCTGCCGCATTATAGCGGCTTCGAATGCACTTAAACGATGAGAAAGTACAAAAGTATGAATATAATCTTGTTGAGATTTATGATCAATTTTCCTAAAGAAAAATAACTTTCAGACTACAGGAAAAATGCGTTACGAACCCGCTAATAGCTGCATTTAAAATGTTTATAAATGGTGACTTGAAATCGCGCAATCGTACTATTGATCGGACGCTTCTGATGTTTATTGCAGATGCACTTTCATCTGATTTTTTAGCTGGCGTGTCGAATCTACTCGGTGGCATCACTTATGATGAAAAACATCGAATTACAGGTTGAGTTATTCTTTCTGGAGTTTGAATTTATGTTAAAGCAGTTCTTATCATCGATGAGGGACTATTGCACAATAACTGGCGTACAGGATATTGTAAAAACCATGCCACAAAGTAAAGTGACGAGCACTGCACTGAAAATTTCCGATAAAAGTCATGTACCAGTATCTGCGAAACAGAAAATAGCTAGCTTGCTCAGCTTTCAAAAAGATCGTAATTAGAGACTGACTGAAGAAAGTAGAACTCTAGGCAGGCATGCCTGGCATGACTGCTTCGCACAAAACTGCAACTCGGCAAAATCAGCAAACTGCATTCAGCATCGACCGTCCAAGGCGTTAAATTTTTTGTGCTGGGAACGGCGAAAGAGGGTGAAGTAAGGGCTGCATTCCGGGAGATGAAAAGCACTAACAAAAAAGGAAAAGGAAAAAGGAAGGAGTGAGCAGCGGAAACAAACGCGTATTTGTAGGGCCACAGACCAGATGTTAAATGAAAGTCGATCAACAGATAGCAGAGAATTTTTACTTATCCGGGCGAAAAGATTTTGGGTAACAACACTTTCGAGATAACTTTCAAGTCTTTTTACGAGGTGCACACGACATACTTACCACTCATTTTTGACGTGGCCTTGGAAAATTTGTTTGATACACCTGTTTTCACTATTTGCAGGGGCAAAAGCAATAATGCTGCCATATGCGTTACGACATTCAACACCATTCCAGGACGGTTTAGCAGAGAAGTGGGAACTGAAGTTAGCTGATTTTCTGCTAAAATATAGTTCAAGGCTTATTCGAGCTTCGCTGTGGACCTACGAGACGTTAGCTTCCGAAAGTGCAAAGGATCGTGAACAATTATTGCGGTAGATTTTTTATTTCCCGCCTTCAGCTCTGTTCCAGGGCAGCAAATTTCTGCATTAGAAGTCACTGAAAAAGACAAGGGTAGAGGACAACGAAAATATGCTTGGGAGCAGCAAACACCTAGCGACAAGGCCATCGATGGCTTTCGGAAAAAGCATATGAGCAAGCTGGTATCAAGTCTTAACTCCATAGCACAAGAAGCAAATTACCATCGAATCAAAATGAAGAATTATAATGGGAATGGTTTGCCACTGAAAGCCTCGGGCATTGGCATGACGGTGGCGTTATCTATCGCCGCCTTCTCTTTATCCATCGGAATGTATGTGGTAATGTATATAAATGAAAGATGCACACATCCCGCTCATTTCCCGCTCCTTAGCGAAACTTTTTGCAGTTTATTTCAACATTTGGAGTTTTCGCAATAATTCAAAGGTGGGCATGGTATCTAGAATTTTCTCTGGATTCAAGCATTATTTCGAATCCATTAGTGAATTGATGGCCTACCAGGGTTGCCGTTGCGACCGTGAATTTTTGCGTAAATCTTGAAACAGTCAGGTCGTTAACAGCATGAATGGCCCTTGTCTCACTGTTATTAAAACGTGCACTTATGTTGGCAGTGTTTTGGCCATTTGTTGCATGTGGTGTGAAAGAAGGATAGGCTGGCAGTGCTACATTCTCAACTAACATCGTGCCGACTCGGCAAGCCACACAAAACAGTGACTGTAATTTTGCCAGAATATTGCTTGAATTGCACTTGCACCACACCCTACGACACATCAGAGATCTGTAGCAAAATGGCGATCTCGAGTAAAATTCTGCAAGAATGTCTTATATTCATGTGTGGTCTAAATTCAGCTTCGAGGCTAAATTCTCGCACCCGAACATGACGAATACTCAGTTTTATCAATAACTCCAGGCTGAAACGCACCAGGCTTGCCGGTGCAATCATATGCATTTATATTAGGCTTGAAGCAACCGGTAGTTAGCTGTATGAATGATTGTTATGCGTTTTTGCGTATATACAAATGCAAAAACGCATATTGCGACGACCCCGGTGTGTGTGTATGTGTGTGTGTGCGTGTGTGTGTATGTGTGTGTATGTGTGTGTGCGTGCGTGCGTGTGTGTGTGCGTCTACCCGGGTATTTCAACTCGGTACCCAAGCAACCTCCGGTGCCAGAATTTTGCGAGTGGATTCCCCGGCCAAGTGCCACCCCAAGACCGTGGTACTAATCCTCACGCGCGTCTAGGCCCCGTGTACGAGCGCCTCAAAGTTTTGACGTGAAGATCGCTAGCTTGGGAACCAGAAAAGCTAGAAAGCTGAAATTTTGGGATTGTGTTCCCGTCCACATAGAGCTCAAAGACTTTAAATTCAGCCCCCAGGTGTTCGCGTTTCCCGCATACGTTTCCTGGCGCGAAAATCGCTATCTCAGGAAACCAAGAAAGCTGGGGGCCTGAAACTCTCAGCGAATGTTTCCAGTCCATCTACAACTTAAATTTGTCAAATCCAGCTCCCAGTCATGAGTGGTTGCCACGTACGGCCCCGTGAAATTTTCTGGCTGGAATTTGAGTCACTCGGGAACTATAAAAGCTGGAAACCTGGGATTTCAAGGGAATGTTCCCTGTGCAAGTATAGTGTGGACAATCAAATTCCCGAAATTCGAGGACCAGTATGTCAGAGGTTTCTAGATAGCGGAATTTCGAATGATCTTATTACAGCACGAAACACTCCAAAAACACATGATCGCACGGGCCCGCCCAGTGCGCGTCGCCAATGGTTGTTTTACACATTGCGTTTGCGTACTCATTAATATAAAACATCTTAATTTTTGCATAAAAAATAATTCGCCAACACACCGACTGATGGTATGAAGATGCATTCTTAACACTTTTTATGCGTTTTTTGCAGCTATGCTATGCAAAAACGCATATTGTCGAGGGGTTGTCTGTGTGTGTGTCTGTGTGTATGTATGTATGTGTGTATGTATGTGTGTGTGTCTGTGTGTTTGTCTGTAACGAGTTTTCATCTCGAGATCCACAAAAGCTACAAGGCTGAAAATTTGGTGACTTAAT